CACGCAGCTCTCGCTAGGGTTTACTCAGCTGTCCTTGAGCTATTGATCTTGAGGTATGCTATTGAATTTATTCTCTCTGTGTTATTGATCTCCGTGTTTGTTATTGATATCTGTGTTTGTTCTTGAGCTCTTCAGCTCTGTGTCCTTGCTATTGATCTCTGTGTTTATTCTCTCTCTAAAGAACCCCAATTCTCTCCTGTAAAGACCCTTTTTTCCCCTTGTTTGTCCTTCCTTTTTTTTTTTTTTTCATTTTCTCGAGTTTTTTTGGGTAACTATAGATCACAGAGAGTGTCACACTCTCTGTGTTTCTTGTTCTTTGCATTCAGGCTGTTTAATGATAGAATTAGGGTTTCGGTCGATCTCCTTTTAGCTGGTAAGTTTCTGATCAACTCCAGGGTTCAGTGTTGAGTTGTGCTTTTTGTTTCTTCGGTTTATGATGCTCATTTTCGGTGAAGTCTCCGTTAATGGTGATTGTAATGAGTACATATTACCTTGTTTTGTATCTAAAGTACATTTTGTGGCTTTTTTGAAGTTTTGGTTAAATTCTGGCTTTTTTTGTGGGTCTTTTACCATTTCAGACCGTTGTTTTATCACATTCGGAGTTTATTTCGACTTTAGTGCGTAGATCCTGACCATTTGAATGATAGTAGGGCTTATTTGGTTGTTTAATGCAGTTATCACAGGGATTATGTTGGGGTTTTTTGGGGCATTTTCACTTATTGGTTTGTAATAGTCCACAAAGAATTAATTTAAAACATTTGATTCAAATTTACATGTAAATTTTGATTTTTCAGTAGATAATTTCTCATCTTGGGAGTTGAGGGATCTTTGGCTTTATAATTCTATAGTGAACTCTCATCTTCTACAACGATGGGAGTTGGCCTTTCTTTTTAAGTGATTTTTTTTTTCTTTTAGTTTTTAGGATTTTAGGGAATGTATGGAAAAATAGTTAACAGTGCTTATGGAATTCTTTGTTTTATTAGGGGTAAAAGTGTCATTATGGATTTGGTTTGAATTGCGACTTCTAATTCATTTTTGAAATAGGATTTATTGGGTTCTAAATAAGGTCTTTTATTATAAGGAAAATTGTTTCATGCGGGCTGGACCGCATTTCTATATATGGAGTCCAAAAAGTGTAAAGCATCCTTCTTAAAGATGGATGCAAGTAGGTGTTCCATCTAAAAACAATGGACACTAACAGTCCAAATGTTTTCTTATTAGTAATTTTATTTTTAGTTTTTAAAATTTATTTATTATTTCATATTCACGATCTTTATGTTAGAGATTACATGTCTTTAAAAATTAAGTCGTAAAATCGATCTCAAAAATAGATTTATTAAGAGGAGGCCCGCATTTCTACATATGCGGGCTTGGTCGCATAGAAACCGGGTCCTTATTATAAATTGGGATCGTTGTAGAGGATTTAGAATTAGAGTTGAATATCATTTATTTTGAGCCTAGATTATACTAGAGGAAGTTTGACTTGTAAGCTCCCACCTTTATTTAATTAGATTCTCAGTTTTTTTATTTCTTTCTATAAATTCTCCACTACATTAAAATTTTCATGAGTAGCTAGAACAACTATTGGAGAGACGAGTGAGTTTTCAATGATAATAGGTTTACATCAGGGGTCAGCAGTGAGCCCATACCTCTTTGTTTTAATTATGGACGACATAACTAGGCACTTACAAGACAAGGTACTGTGGTGTATGTTTTTCGCGGATGACATAATTTTGATGGATGAGACACGAAGCGACGTCAGCACAACGTTAGAATCTTAAGGGATCCTCTAGAATCTAAAAGTCTTAAAATTAGCCGGACTAAAACAAAATATATAGAATGCAAGTTTAGTAATAATAGGAGTAGAGATGAGGAAGTAGTTAAGATTGACGGCCAATAAGTACCAAAAAGAGCGCACTTTCGATATCTTGGGTCAATAATCCAAGAACATGGAGAGATTGAGGAAGATGTCGCACATACAATTAAAGCTAGGTGGGCGAAGTGGAGATGCGCAACTAGAGTTTTGCGTGATTGCTGCATAATAATGAAGCTGAAGGAGAAGTTCCATAGGGCAGTTATGAGACCGGCTTTGCTTTATGGGGCAGAATGTTCAATGGTCAAGAAACGACATACCCATAGGAATAGTATAGCTTAGATGAGGATGTTGAGATGGATGACTGGCAAGACAAGAAGAGATAAAATTCAAAATGAATACATTTGAGAGAACTTAGGTGTGGTTCCGATAGGTGAAAAGATGAGAGAAAGTAAACTTAGATGGGCTGGAAATGTGCAGTGAAGACCTAGTACAAAATCTGTTAAGAGGTGTGAGTTGGTTTAAGTGGAAGGCTAAAAAGGGCAAGGGTGGGCCCTAAAGGATATGATTGGAAGTAGTGAGAAAATGTATGGGGACTTATGACCTTATTGAGGGTATGACCCTTGATACAATAGAATGACGGACCAGTATTCGTGTAGCCAACCCTAAATAGTTGGGAAAAGGCTTTGATTATGATGATGATGAACTAGAGCTTTTGCCATGAACCTAGCCAATTGCTCATTAATCTATGAACTTTTTGTTGATGATCAGTGTAAATTCTAGTGACTTATGAGTAGCTGGCGAGGTTCATAGCAAAAATTCCCGGTACTGGTTTTAGGGCTTAAAATATTGATTGCATTGGGATATTCTTGGGAGAATTTTATAAAAAGAAATAGAAGGTGAAAGGTGTGAAGTTGTGCACGAGGGGGTAGATGAAGTTATTAGGAAATTAGGATGCTGCCCGGGGCAAAAAAAAAAAGGTGCTTATAATACTGAATTTTTAGGGGGGGATATGGGGATATATGATAATTTCCTTTATATTTTCCAGGTATTATTTTCATATATTAGGATACTCCCACCTTAGGATATATATCTGCATTGTTAAACATCTGAGGATTTTCTGTTATACAATGCATATATGCATCACATATAAAACATATAACCCATAAGATTCCCGCTTTCAAACCATCAAGCATTTCCTTACTCAAATTATACACTGCACAAAGCAGCCCTGGAGATTTTCCACGCATGCAACTTTTGAATTGCATTTGCTGTCATTGCAAGATTGTTAAGTCAGCAAGATAGTTCAAGGAAATACAATTCGAACACTTACTGGTTATCTTTCTGGTTTATCCTTTGTACTAAGTTTTGGAGAAAGATGTGTTTGTAACTGACGATTTACAATCTCATTGATCTCTTAGAGAGTTCAAAAAGTTAGCTGGACACCTGCCTGCACTGGCCACCCAGGCGATTGGGAGGCTTCACCGCCCCGCACTGCACCTATGCGGTAGGGCGGGGTGGGGACCATGGCTGACCGACTTGTCGCCCTGGACACTGCCTGGGTGCCTGCTCAGAGCCCTTTTGGCGAGGGCGAAAATTGCCCTCTCCAAAAGGCCAAAAAATGTAATTTGCCCCATGTAAAAGGGGGAGAAATAGTATTTTGCCCACTACCAACCCCACCATGTAAACGGGCCTAGAGAGCTCAATTTGTTCCTTAAAAACTGCTTTTTTAGCTCAAAATTTATTTTAAGGATTGAATTCGAAGTTTTCAATTTCTTGCGAAATCCAAAGGCGTTCTACTTGGAATTTTCTAGGGATTAAAGTGGTTGCAAAATAGAGCTTTTGGCAACTGAAAGTGACTGATTCAAATCTACCTAGATTGGTTTTTTAAAGGTTCGTAAATTTAATTGTTTATGTTTAAGATTTCATATTTATTGTAAGTATTGTGTTATGCGTTTTTATCATTTTGTTATGTTTAATTTTGAAGTTTGGCCTTACATTTTTTATGAAAATTCATGAGTGTTTTTTTCTGTTAAGGGGTTGCTATTTTATGATTATTATATATTTTTGGCTCTTTGTGGTTTCCTAATTTATAATACAAATTTGAAAATTTCTAATATATTTTTGGCTATATTTGGCTTTGTTTCTAATTTATAATGCAAATCTAAAAATATTTCACTATATTTGGCTACTATTCTAATTTTTAATGTGAAAATAAAAATTCACAATATCGTGCCTGCACAAGAATCCCAAAGCAAATGTTAATGGAAAAGGACATATTATTGATGACGTTGTCTCTGTTGTAGGACTGGGACATGCTGTGCTGTATCAAATCTCTACGAAGCATGTTAAGATCCTCAAATGCAGTTGCCATGATCACTTTTACACCTTCTGTTGTATCATCCTCTTCCTTCAGCATGAGGTGGCAGCTCTTGGCAGACACATTGCTATCCCTCAGAGCTATTCCTGGTGTGTAATGCTATCGCATGCACATGTTTGTTTGCCTTCACTTAATGTCTTTCTGAAACCAGTTTGCATGCGATTCAGATGATGATAAGGAAATGGCAAAACTTCTTGCTGATTATCAAGACATGTTTGGCCTTCTGCACATTCACAAAGTGGGTCGCCTAAATTCTCAGGTATTTTTTTAATTCAAAATCCAAGTTGTTTGTGTGTTTCTGTGTAGTATCTTGATTCTCTCTTGTTCTCTTTAAAGAAATTTCTAACTTTCAAATAATAAATATGGATTTGTTACTCTGTTAAAAAAAATAGTAATATGGGTTTGGTTTAGATTGAAGAATTTCTATTTCACTCGATTTTCATCGACAAAAAAGGGTTGGTGGCAAATGAATTATCAGACCCTTGTAAAATTTGGATAATTTATGGTTGCTGCAGGTTCCTGTTATCCTGGAAGGAACTACATATTCATTGAAGGTCATTTGCAGGGAGACCCTGGTTTTGGAGCGGTTAAATCAAGCTCCTGTTGATACCTCTGGTGGAGGTTCTTCAGTAGATTGTTCTGGATCTTCCAGTGCACGTTTACTTGATATTTGATAACTCTTTGGGCAGATTGAAAAAATTGAAGGGTAGCTATACAGAGGAAGTAAACCATAGATCACATGTGGTTTACTAGAAACCACAGGGACATCTGCCGTCCTTTCCTGATTATCAACGGTGTAGAGTATCTGTGCCCAGGTAAATATCATTTGTCAGGAGTCTCAGTGAAATCCCCACCATTCGCCATCAAGAATGGATTGTTGGATAATCCCCGAGGTGTATGGCACACCATCCACGTTGGGGTATGGTATTCTCTCATCTTTTCCATACTTGCGTATCGTAATGGACGAGCAATAGCTTTTTTACTTGAACAGAAATTTGACGTTGTTGGAAAAGCTAGAGTTGCTATTTATACATATGGAAAAATATACAATGAGACCATTTGTTAGCTCAAATATTTTTTAACTTGAGCTTAGGAATGGCACACCCAATATTTTTAACGAGTTCTGGTATTTTTAGCTTGGCTAGTTCATTTTGTTTGGCTAGGCTGGCATGATTCCTCGTTGATCTTGTTTTCCTCTTGACATAAATGATGGGTTAGGACATGTTTGTTTTGGTGGAAAAGGGGACTGCCAAAGATCCTTGTTCCACACAAGGCCGCTGCTTCTATGGGTTGAACAGTTTAAACATTGTTTTCGAAGCTGCTGCTTCTATCGGTTGACATTAGAGTAATGACTTCTAATTTTTTTTTTTAAATTAAAGTTGTTCTAGTGGCTTCCAAAACAATGTAATTTCTATAAATATGTACTACAGTTGTGGAAGCCATGGCTTCAATGAAACAAACACGCCCTAGGTTGGTTCTCAAAATAATAAACTGGATCAAGAAACGAGCATAACTCGGCAAATCGCATATGATTGATGTTGTGGGAGGGGTTTGAGGGGATCCATCAACGATATAGTGATTTAAAGGAGAAATCCATCTTGAGTTTTGCTAGAGACTTCGATTCGGTGGATTGACGTGCATCTGTTTTCTAGCAAGAAGCAACGGCTAGCCTAGAGTTGCGCGTTAGCGCATCCCTTTTCATGTAAGGGAAATTAACGATGTAAAAATCAAAATCTGAATTGCAAGGAATCGATGTTCTCTCAGTCCGACTGAGGTGATTTTCAGTTAAATTGACCCACAGATGACAAAAAAATTTAAAACAAAATAAGTAAGGAGAGTAGGGCAACTTTGGGGTTCTTCGCGGCAGTGTCGCCCACCTCCCGATCCAATTGAGGATTGTTCATTTTAGTGACATAAATAAGAGACTTAAAATCTGTCATTTGGATCGGATTTGCCCCTTTTTTTACTTTTATCCACAGTTTTTAATCATTGAATTTGTTTTATCCGGTGGTTTAAAAAACGGATTGGTGCTTTGGATTGGGCGCTTCAAAATCTCATCCGGTTCGGTGAATCAGTATTTCGGATCTGGAATCGGGTGGAATCGGTAATGTTTGTCTCAATTTTTTTTTAAAAAAAATCACTAGAAATCTTTAAAAATAATGTTATTTTAATTTCTAAAAGAATTTAGGAGTGGGGCATTACGTATTTTCATTACTTTGTAAAAATATGTGATTATTGAGAACCTGTTTTTTTTATTTGGATGTTTGTATAATTAAACTAAATATATTAATAAATAAAATATAAGACTTGGTTATCATTGTAATATATAACAATTAGTGTGGATAGAAATATAGAATTTAGAAATATAAATTTACAATAATATTTTAATAAAATTAAAAAGTAAATAAATAAATTCATATTTACAATGTGAGGTAATTAGTTACAAACACTTCTATATAATAAGAGTAAAAAAAATTAATTTCTCACATAAATTAGTATCACATCAAAGCAGCGGTTTAAAAAACAGATCGGTGCCCCGGATCGGGCACTCCAAAAATCCATTCGGATAAGTGAATCGGCGATCTGGATCTGGAATCGGTCTGATTAAGCTTTCAAAAAATTTCAAAAAAATATTAAAATTCATTATAAATGTTCTCTTTTAGGAATCCAATAAGAAATGAGGGCACTACATTATTAACTTTCATTTTTTTCATCAATTTGTGAATATTGAGATGCTCTTTCCATATATAAATTTATGTTAACCATTAAATTTACATTACATAAAAGAAAAATCATAGAATTATCATGGATCAAATATATAATTATACATGGATTATAATAAAGAGTAGATTAAATCAATGAAAGAATGGCCACTAAAATCTCGTTTTGACAAAAAACCCTAATCCGCTAGAAAACTCAAATTATTACAGCCTAACTAAATATAATCCAAAATTATTACAACCTAACTAATTATAATATTATATACTAAAATTATAATTATTAGTTTACATTTTATAATTATTTTATTATACAAATAGTAACAAATTCAAAATATTTTATAATATTATCTAATTTAAAATATATTATTGACAACTGTAAGAAAAATAGTACATTATATGATTTATGATGTAAAAATTAATAAATAAAATAAAAAATTTGGTTATCAATGTAAAAATTAATAAAATGCGAATAGATTTTGAAAATAACACTTTAATTTTTCAAAAATTTAATTTTTTAGGTTTCTATAATAAATTTAGTGAAAGAGATTGTTAGTAGAAAGAGAGAGATTTCAAATAGAATAAAATTTTTATTTTTCATTTTTTTATGCCTTTCATATTATTTACAATAAAAATAATTTAATATTATGTACAACAAAAATTAACTGCTATACAACAAAAATTAATATAATATGTAATGCCCAAGGGGATTCAACCTTGGGAGGTCAAGTAAAAGAGCAAAGGTCATAACCATCACGCTTACTCACTGCATGTGATGATATGTTGCCTATTAATAGAGTATATTTAAATTCCGTCTTCATTTAATGAGGTTCGAGAATTATACCACATCAATTTTGCTATATAAATAACTATGTAGTATGATGTGAAACATGCATGTGGAATCATTGAGGCAACCCTATGTGTGATATGTGCCACGTGATTTGGTCGCATGTGCACACGTGATGCTCCATGTGATGTCTTCCGTAAAGACGCGGTTCACGGTTTAAAACCTCCTGGTTCTCTCTAGACACGGGCTGATAGAACCCATCACGGGGGTGTCGATTCCCGCCCGGTTCTCTCTAAACACAGGTCACGGGGGTGCCGATTCTTCGACTCCGCCGACTTTTCAAACACTGCATCAAAGTATTAAACATTTAAAACATTTATTAATGAGTAATTGTTTTACTTATCCAAAATTATTACAACTTAACTAACTATAATAATATATATTGAAATTGAAGTTGTTAGTTTATAACTTTATATCTTATAATTATTTTACTATACAAATAAAAATATAAAATGTCTTATAATATCATATAATTTAAAAAATATTATTTACAATTATAAGAAAAAATAATACATTATAAAAATTATAATATAAATAAATTAATAAATAATATATAAGATTTGTTTATTAATAAATTTTAAAAAATTATATTTGCAATGTGAGATAATTGATAAAGCAACTTGAAATAAATTATTAAGTGGTATGAGTTAGTGTCATTTTTTTCTCTTAAAATATCCTCTAAACTTTGTTTTTTTTAATATCCAATAGACTAGAATTGGTATTATTATTATTATTTTGCTAATATCCTATGCGTTATTACTAATTTTTTAATCCTAATTAACTAATTAATTAGTTATTACTCATATAATGAAATGATCCCATGATATAATAGCTTAATAGAGTTTTTATGTTTTTTTGGTAAGTAAATTTAAATTTTTTTGGTGAAAGATAGGGGTGATGGGCATCTTTAATAAATTTTTTTATCATCTAATTTAAATACCGCCATCGGACGTACAACCATCTTATTCATGACGGGCATACACCATCATGCATACACCGTCACGCGTACACCATCTCACTGCAATTTATCCCAAGCTAACAATATTTGCCAGCCTTATTCTTGAGGGATTGGTTTTTCAACACACCAATGTCGCGAAGTGATGGAGGCATCATATTTGTAATACTTACAATAAAAAAATCTAAGTATGCCGCGGTCGGATATATGGAACACCTGACACCCCCATGCCAAACTACATGATGTATTTTTTCCTAGGACTCTTGGGGAAATGTGTATCTTGGAATTGGTAATCTTTTTGAATTAGCATTTCTTTAAAGATTGATGTATGCTGTTTGGGTGGCAGAGATATGGGAGATTCATCTTCACTATTTGGATTGTTTAGTAGATGTATTTTTAGGAAATTCAATTTTTTTTTAATTATACCATTATTTAAAAAAATTGTAATTCTCAAAGTTGTAATTATTGTACTTAAGAATCGCTCATGTCATTCGTTTTAGTGTTTGTCTAAGTGAGAAATAAATGGGGGCATTTCAAAATACCGAGGTGAGATTCCTTCATCCGAACATTACATTTCACCAAATATGTGCATTCAAACATTAATATCATAATTATAATAATTAAATAATAATAAAATATTATTTTATTAATATAATATAGTAATTATGTTATTATTCAATAATAATGTAATATTGGTTTCTTGGTATTATTATGATATTATAGTATTATTACAGTAATTATATTATATTATTATCATATAATATTATAAGAGTAATGATCCTATGAGACCCTCCCACACCCATGTGTGTAGGACCCCAAAGGATCACCATTAAATTTAGCATAGATCTTTCCACACCTATATGTGATAACTTTTTTAGAGATCTGTGCCAAATTTAATGGTGATCTTTTGGGGTGCTACACACATGGGTGTGGGAGGGTCTCATAGGATCATTACTCATATTTATAATATAAATATTATAATTATAATAATAATAATCATCATCATCATCTAAGTCATCCTAATTAATTGGGGTCGACTATAACAAGTATATGATAATACAATATATTTTTTTTGTATTAATGTAACACACACACACACACACACACATATATATATATATATATATATATATAGTAAAAGTTATAATAAGTACTAACCTTACTCCTACACGCTACTGATAC